AAGTCTCGAGTAACACCTTACAAAGTTACAGACCATCTATAATGTCATCCTACTTCTGATAGTCTGAGGTTATGTTTTGACTGGTTCAGCCTTCTAATGACAAGGCAACATCAGTTGCAACTCAAGGGTCCCTTTGGAACTTAGAAACGATAGGGAAAGAAAATAAGGAAAGTTTAGGGGAAATTTGGAAAGAAATAAACAACAACAACAACATCCAAGCCTTAATCCCAAAAGATATTGGGGTCGGCTAACATGAATTGATACATGATATCACCACCAAAAGGAATTTGGAAAGAAAGAAAATGTGAGAAAAATAAACATGTATTCAAACTCGATATATTTATTGTTGATATTAATATATTTCTGTTATGATAAGACTAATAAACATTAACATATGAAATACATTTAATAACCTCATTTATATTTCAATATCCTCAGTAAAAACCAATCAAAAGAAAATAACTTCAATATTTTTTTACCTTTCTCTAGTATAGTTATTATTTGAACTCCGATATCATATCTCGAATCATGTTAACTAACCCTAAACTCTTATGGGAATAATGCTTAGATGTTTTCATCCAACTATACCCAAAGAGTATGCTCGAATTCGGACCAGCTTCATATTTCAGATCAGTTCTCATCCTATGGAGTAGCTATCACCATACTCAATTTGGGTTCTTATCAATTACCTGAGATTGTGAAAATGTGAAATAGTGTCATATGTTATACATTTATGTTTCTATATTTTTAGTGTTCAAGTACCATGTTTCACACCTTCTGCTCAAAGTGCGCATTTGCAATATTATAGATAACACCATCTCTTTATTTGATTTTTTTTCATATTCGTAATTTCTTGTAGTAGCCTTGTATTCAGCCTTACTCCGCCTTCGCACCATGCAATCACATTTGACTACTCATGATAAGATGGATAAATGGTCAATATGAGCAAAATGGTTTTTGTGAATAAAAGATCAATTTAAGGTGGACTAGTGGGTATAGAGATTAATGCATGCGATATTTCTTTCTTTTGTCTCAAAAGAAAGAAGATGCGAGGATGAGATGGAGAGGATTACCCAAACATACGTGGATTAGAGTGGCCGGGAAGGATATGGTACTCATTGGGTTAGAGGATTGATCTATATATGTTTGTCTCCCTTTTCTTTATTTATCTTTTTGAACTCCGTTTTCGTATGTTGATTCATGTTAGTCGACCCCAAACTCTTTTGAGACTAAGGCTTGAATGTGGTTATTGTTGTTTTTGTGTTATAAAGATGGAGACAAATTGACCCCAATGGATACTCAATTACCCTATAGCCCCTCCCCCCAGAGTCTTGCATGCTTCCTATGAAACTACGGCTTGCTTCTACGTCAATGAGGTTTAGTATTGGAATTAAGGTTTGCATGTTTTATTCTCACTTACTGTTCAATTCTCTTCCTTAGGGTTTTGATGCTTGCCAAGGGAACTTCTATTCATAAATCTTTTCTTGTCCCTTTATTTGCTTTACAAGCCCCATCAGCTCTTGTCTCATGGATCAAGTAAGCCTCCCTACCCTTTATTTTTGTGGTTTTTCATCATGGTGGTCGGTGGCTGCATAAAATGCCACTCCCAATGTTACATTCTAAGCTTTGATAAACTAATTGGACATCGGTTTGTAGGGGTGAGTACGGCCTTTGGACAGCGTTCTTGGCACTTCTGGTTCGCCTTTTCTTCTTCTTTCCTGGTCAGTTTAATGGAAGCATCATAGATTCATCATTTTTATGTGTTATATTGGTCACACTGACAGTAGTATAACTATCCTTGCAACATTTTTTTGTCTTTGTTGACCATAAGACGTCATGAAATGGTTTCACTTGGTTCATCAATATTAGAATTTTCAGTATGTTGTCCATGTTGGACAGAAGACATGAAGAAATCAGCAGGAAGGACCCCATCCATATTGAAGCTATTACTGAATCTGTTGATTTATGCTTTCATTTCTTTGATAAGTAAAGTATTGTCTTGTTCCTCTTTTCAGCATGCAACAGGGGCGTATCCACTTTGATATAGTGGGAGCACAAGCCCCCAATAAATAGACAATATAACATGAATAAATATTTTTGTTTTGAATAAGGTGCTCTAAAAAACTATTATGTGCCCCCAATAAAAGTTTAGGCGCCCCCATTTTACTTTCCAAGCTAGGCAAAGAGATTGCTTTCTTCTGCCAATAGGTTAAAAATCATTTAGCAATTTAAGTTCTTAATTACTCCGAAATAATTTTAGAAGTTTATTGGGCTACTTTGCTTAGATTTATTTAAAACGTGTTCGCCATATATTCTTCCTTTGTTAGTTTAATCAAATTTTTTTCAAGAAAATAATCGAAATATATTTGAAAGGCTGTGTTAATGGAGAAGGTTCAAATGGGTATGTATCCAACACCTTACCACTACTATGATGGATCATTTTACAAAAGTGAAGACTAATAAATAGATGTCCTAAAATTCATGATACCTATTTTGATAATATTTTAGTGGGGGTGGGCATAACGGTTTGGTTTAACCGAACCGTACCAAACCGAACCGAAACCGGACCGTATGCAATTTGGTTTGAGTTTGGTACTATTTCTTCCAAACAGTATTAAACCGAACCGAAACCGATAAAAACCGAACAAAACCGAACCGAACTAAAGAAACTCAAAAAAACTTTCATATATTATTAAAATTGGTGGTTTGATTTGGTTTGCTAAACATTTGCTCAAACCGAATGGTTTGGTACTTTGGTTTGGTTTGGTTTAAAACGGAAAAACCGTAAACCGAACCGAACACCGAACAACACACACACACACACACATATACTTTGTATTTATCTTCACTCTTCATTTTTAAGATATAAATAAATAATTTAGACATGAAAATACATATTTAAGCATATACTCGTATCATTTAACTTTAACACATTTCATACATTCATTATGACAAAGTTAGCTAATACGACATATTTGTATTTATTATGTTTGGCGATAACAATAGCAAATTGCATTTATATTTTTACATGATTCATTTGAATAAAATTGTGAATATTGTAACATTTGTACCACCGACTCTCTTAGGTTTTTTTTGAATATTCTATGTGATATTATAAATGCTAATGAATTATCTTATTTTTTGTAAGAAGTGAATTTTTTGTAGTGATAAAAAAATGTTAGAAGTTTTATTTTATAATATTTTATTATTTATTTTCCTATCTTTTATTTCCTTTTACATTTTATTTAAATAATCAATAAATTAAAAAAAGATGAGATGGACTACTACTTTCATTTTCTAATTCTAAAATATAGAACTTGATCAAGCAAAATAATAAACATAAGCAAACGAATCTAATCAAACTAAATTAAACATAATATTTTTTACTTTGATAAACCGAACTTCAAACCGAACCGAACCGAAACCAAACCGAAACACAAATGGTTTTAGTTTGGTACAAATTCTCCCAACCCGAATAAACCTAAACCGAACCGAAACCGAAGAAAACCGAACCGTAAACCGAATTGCCCACCCCTAATTTTAGTATGGTATCTTCTAAATAGTGGTGCCCCCATTAACAAAGTTTTCTGGATCCCATGAGCAGGGTGAAACTCAAGAGTTGGACCTACCCTTTAAAAAATATTTCCCCTCCCCCCAATATTATGAACTTGAGATTTTTTTGTTATGATAATTAGAATTAGGTTAATGTCTCGAAGAAACATGAGTTTGCAACCCAATACCATCCATTTCAGGTGATCTGGAACTTCCATTAATTGCACTACTGATGGTGATCTTGTCCCCTTATCAAGTTTCAAACTTAAGGTTATGTATTTTTTTTGTTCACTTATTTTGCTGTTATATAGCTTTCAGATTTGTTTCTTGATGCAAAATTTCTCTTTATTGTACTTTGGCAGGGGGACAAAGGAGGGTGTAATTCTTTCCCTGGTCATATCAGCTTATCTTGCTTTCCAGCATTTCTCACGTGCAGGAAGCTTAAGAAAAGCGTTTGATCAAGGTTCAATCATTGCCACCATAGCCATATTATGCATTGTCGTTGTACCTTGCTTGCTCTTGATCTGACTGAATGTAGAAGCGTCATGAAAATGGCTTCATCTGTAATTAATGGTTTAATATTTATACATTTTTCTTTTGTGAAATCATGAGCGTGAAAATGACTTTAACAGTTTATGCTTATATATTTATCATGCAAACTTTATGGTTGAACTGTCAGTTATTTTTTTGCGGCTCTGTAAAAGTTTGTATATCTGGCCAGATATTGAGGATTAGGTGTATTTCTTCTTCTGTTTTTAACAATACGAAGTATAACTGATGTTTGAAATAACATCTCAAGGGTCAAAGAGAGTCTTGCTTTAATCAGACTCACATGGTAATATGCAGTAAAAATATTCTCAATTTTAAGAATTAATATCACAAAAAGGAAAAATGACGCTTTTAATCCCTGACCTATACCACTGATACACTTTTAGCTTTGAGTCTTGCTATAATTGACCTCTTCATTTTCAGGTCATCACTTATTGCAAAGTGGCTCTTTTGGTCCCTCATCCTCGGAACCATAATGGGCGAAGGAGAATTAAAAGCCACTTGGGAACCCAAAAATACAGAGGTTTATTATTCGGCAAGGACTAACGTTGTACAACTTAAGTCATAGACTAAAGATGTGACATTCTCCCTTAATAAATTCCCAGTAACAGGGTTGTTTATGTCGTTATAGATTATTATATGTCTTAGGAGGCAGAAAATGCAAGTCTTTAACTACATAAATTAAGCTGAAATTTTCTGTCCATAATAAATAATGAAGTATGGATTTAAGTGGGAACTTATAGCTATAAAATGCTGACTACATACATACATCAAGATGACTTTCTTCACTTATCTCTTGGCTTCCTACCGGAGCTAAAAGTCATACAGAGGTGAAAGATGTAGAAACTGCCCCTTGGTCGTAAGCTTTCGAGCATCATGATGGTTCTGTCTGTGCCTCTGAAGAGTTTGTAATGTAATGTGTGGAGGCAATAAAAAAAGAAACCAGACTCTTGTTGCAACTTCAGTGCCCTCTCTTCATTTATTCTGACTTTCGATTTACATATGATGCAACATTAGGGTAGAAAGCATGAGAAGTAGTACTAGGTTTGGTGAGAAGGTGTATGCTGAGTTAGGTGAATCTGTCGGCGCCCCATAATCTAATGGTTCCGGGGTATCTACTCCTGTTTGACCTGGCGGTGGTAGGGTGATAGCTGGTGTTGGTGTAGGCGGGCTGCGGCATTGCAAAATTTCAAATCAATGGCAAACCACAAAATACAAGTCCCGGTTATTTTTTGCAAATGTATCGAGGAAACAAATGGTACTCCATATTTGGTTAGTTGTCCTGTTTTTATTTTTATTTTTTATTTAATAACAATAAAACATTGCGCACATAGTTGCAGTAAATGTCATAAAAATAGAAAACAAAAAGGGTAAAGTAGGAAAATAAGATCTATTAGTGGAGTTGGGAAAAAAAGAAACATAACATAATATTTGTAACAATTCTTTCCAATGGGGAAGGAGGTTAATAAGTGGTGTGTGAATCTACTTCTTAAAACTACTTCTACTCTTTCAGGGAGTAGAAACAGATATCGAAGTGTTTGAGTGAAACTACTTAAGTACTTATGGTGCTCCAAATTACTAAAGCAGTTTTTTAGAAGTTGGGGGAGGCACTTTTGAAAAAATCAATTCTAAACACCCCTAAATGGTTTGATAAAGTTGGATTTGGTAAGCAAAGAAACATGAGGATGTTAAGTTGAATGTGATTAAATTTAGCGATGTTTTTACCTCAACGGAATGGGTGTTGGAGTCAGTGTGGGGGTTGTAGGCGGCAGCATGGAGGTGGGAGGTGACTGTGTAAGAGGAGGTGTGGGTGAAGCAGTTGATGATGAATAGCTGCAGGTGCCGGTACCTGTAAGATCAAACCGAGGGATATATTGAAGGAAAAACATACTGTATATAGATAGGAAAATGAAAAAGAAGAGCTAGCTGCTAGCTAGCTAGACTATACACGTACTTGGATCTGTTTTTGTTAAGCTGGCCGTTCCTCCGAAGTCACAACTGGCAGGAACTGGGTTTTTCTGGTAGTAGTTATTGAATGCATAAGAGGCGTGAGCTAGAAGTGTGTTTGGCTGGTAACAACTTCCGCTTGCCTGAATAGCTGAACAGTCTGCCCCCCCGATGCCGCAAGCGTAGTCCAGAGCCACCTGTAAAGCAGTAGTTGGAACACCTGGTATGGCAACACACCATTGTCCGCTCGATGCTGCTGATGGAGTTGGGTTCGGGTTCGGGTTTGGAAGTGTGGGAGTAAGAGTGGGCGCAGGGGGGGTTGGAAGAGTGGGATCTGGGGCGGTTGGGGTCAGAGTGGGGTTTGGAAGTGTGGGGGGAATAAGAGTGGAAGGAGGAATGGGAGTTATGGTAGAACCCGGGGGAGCGGGAGGAGGAAGGGTGGGAGTTGTGGAAGGAGTAGTGGGAACTGGATTGATGACGGGAACATCAGCATCAGCTTTCACCTCATCGTACATCGTCATAGTATGTGAAAACAACTCTTGAGGAGAATCAATGAGTTGTTGTTGTTTTTTGCTTTTCCTGATTGCTTTTGAGCCATGATGTCTCTCTGCAATACTTGTTCCTGAAGCAAGGAAGAAACAAACAGCTACATCAGATCTTCATATATATGGATGGAATGGATCGATTCTCTCCTTACATGCACCTTTCATATATGCATCATCTCTTTCAACACTTCAAGTAAAGGATTTCTTTTGTACCATACATACATATAATATATATAATATACATCTCGCAACCACGTAATTAAGATCCCATCTCCCATCACTCCATCCACTTCTTTACCATACATATATATGGGTTGGTTTTTACATGTATAGTAGGGTGTAACGTGTGAAATTTGTTCGCAACCACTTTTACATGTAATGCACTTTTTGACGTTTCACCAAAATTTATATATTTACAAAAATGTCACCTTGTTTCAGTCAAACACTCTAATAATTTAGTAAATAAATGCTTTTTTGACAAAACGTCAAAAAAGTGTATTACACTATACATAAAGTGCAACGAATACAGGTAAAAGTGAGTGCAGAAGATTTCACAAGTTAAACATTTTTATTTGATCCTAACACACACACACACAGGTAGGCCCAAGATTGTAAATTTTTAGCCTATTTCATTTGAGATACTTCCGCGACCATTTTTTGGTGAAATTTTGTGAGAATGTACTCCGTGAAACGTAGATTATGTGTACCAAATTTCAGCTTTAAACTCAATTGGGAAGTCAGTAAAAAACTGCAATTTTATATGTATAAAGTTACATAGTTTTCAAGAATTTATTTAACTGACTTCCCGATTGAATTTTAAACTGAAATTTGGTGGGTATAATCTACGCTTCATGGAGAATATGCTCACAAAATTTTATCAAAAAAATCGACACGGAAACACCTCAAATAGTTACGCTACATGATTATTGTCATCTCTCTATATATACGTTGTATATAATACTTATAAACAAAAACTCATTAGAAATCATTAAACACGGTATTTAATTGGAAATCATTAAAATGGTTGTTTAATAATCTCATTTCGGAGTATTTGTTGTATACACAGGCCCACACACATATTCTTCGCTGGGGGTGAACATATCAATTTCGGTTCAGTTCTTATTGTATTCTGGGTTCGGTTTGGAACAGTTTGAAACACTAATCACCTAACAAAAATTATATTATCTTTCGGTTTGGTTCGGTTCAATTTGAGTTTGTTATTTTTTAATAAAATGTGAAAGGTTTGTTGAATTTCTTTAGTTCGGTTCGATTTCATTCGATTTTTTTCGGTTTCGGTTCGATTCGATTTAATACGGTTGGGAATAAATACTATCAAACTCAAACCAAATTGTACATGTTTCGGTTGAATCATATCCAATTCAAAACTCATCATTCAAGTTTTAGACAGGTGGGGAGCATGCATTGTTTTTTGTTTTTGAAATGAGATGTGGGGTCGAAAATAATGGGGTGTAAAATCAAATTCCTCTATATAATAATTGTGAAAGCTGGAATATATATAGAGTTGAACATGCATATATACGTTTATGTCTAATAGTTGAGGGTTTATATAAGTTCTCTAATGTATAATATTTGGTATATTGTGCCAATCTTTCCATTCGTGTGCTTAATTATCCTAAAAAAGTTGAGGCACATACACTCCATGTGTTTTTTGACATAATACATACTCCGTATAATTTTTTAAGGGTATACTCCGTATTTTTTAGGGAAAACTATCAAATAAGCCCCCGTATTATACCGAAAAAGTCGATTAGGCCCTCGTACTTTACAAACACTCAATTAAGTCCTCGAACTATTAAAAAACGTTCAATTAAACCCTTTCGGTCGGTAAGTAACCGGTTTCCCGGTTAAACGGTGGGAAACGGGTCATTTAACCGGGAAACCGGTTACTTACCGACAGAAAGGGCTTAATTGAACATTTTTTAATAGTTCGAGGACTTAATTGAGTGTTTGTAAAGTATGAGGGCCTAATCGACTTTTTCGGCATAGTACGGGGGCTTATTTGATAGTTTTCCCTATTTTTTATTATCCTTATCTATAAATGGTGTTGATTTTTTTCCTGAGAAACGAAAATTAAGATAAAAATGCATCATTTTCTAAGTTCAATGAGAATTAATATGGACAATTAAATATTTGAATTCAAGATAAATGGTTTAAGAACGTCGACATTGCCGAATAAACTATTCCGTACAATTTTATGCTACTACGGAAAGTACACTACTTGTTGAAGCATAAATGGGCATATCAGGAGCTAACAAAAGTGAATGGTTTACAACAAAAATCATTTTCAGTGCAAACGCCATACTTGGTATACATCACTACATAATACGCACAAGAATATGATTCTTGTGCTTTAGTACAGGGGTAAGACAGCGTACAACCAACCCCTCTTACCCCACCGAAGGTGTGGGACTATGGGAGCCTTTGCGGCACTGGGGTAATGATGATGACATACACACAAGAATATAATATTTCCTTCGTTCCTGAATAAACATCTCACTTTCCTTTTCGGACCGTTTCTAAAAAACTTCTCTTCCCTTATTCGATAAACAAAAAGTGTCAGACACTATCAAAACAGTGTCAAATAATGCATTTTTTTAAAATTGTGTGTAAAACAAAGTGACAATTTTAGGGACGGAGAGAGTATACACACACAGGAGGGCAGATGTGTCGGGGATCATTATTATACATACGGGATGAGTTTAGATGATCTAATGTATTGTGATCAAGAAACTAATTAATACTCCGTATAAATTTACCTGAGAGAAGGAACAAACAGAAGAGATGCAACATGGCAATGCAAAGAACTCTTGAACTCATCCTTCAATCCTAGCTGCAATTTTATAATGGGCTTTTCTTCTTAATTATCTCTAGTTTATTGATAGATGAATATATATATGAGTAATATATGTCTCCAAGAGAGCAAAAGAAGAAAAGCAATAGATATGTATTTCTGTGAGGGGAAGAATTGAAGCCATTTCGTAGAAGTTTGTATATATACCCTACATATATGCACATACATTGCATGTGTATGTACATTGCAAAGAATCAAAGCTTTCTTTAATTTTAGTAGAGGTTAGTGTTATGGAATATAAGAAAACTTAAGAGATGAGGCATGGGATAGTTAGGAATTTCAAGAAACGAAAGGTGCTTAAATTGGGAAAAATAGAAAATGATACAAAGTATATATATTTTGGCTCAAAACAAATGGTAGTCATATGTATTTTGGGAAACTGACTGTCTTTTTATGATATTCTAGAATTTCCCCAAAAGATGGCTCCTATATTGCTATTAGTGTTTTTAATTCCAAAAATATGACTTTTTTTAGTTTTTTCAAAAAAGTTATTCATCCCATCAACTAACCCCCTATATATTTAATATAACATTTATTATTTTAATATGAAATCTTAATAATAAGAAGTAATTAATGTTACATTGCATTCCCTACTCACCCATTCAGCGTTACCCTACTTACCCATCTTAATAATAAAAAGCAAGGCTTAACACGTTTTAGTCCATGTGAATATGATACACTTTGTTTTTTGTCTCTGCAAAAAAAATTTATCCCTACAATATGCATTATTTTTTTTGTAGTCCATCTCTAATTCCGGAACCACTCTACTTTTTTTATCATAAAAAACAGGCTTCTACTAAAATATTTAAATTTGTCCTTTTATAATTTTTTAAGGCAAACATGAGAGCTAAAACAATGTAAAACTAAGTATTCACATTTTAAAAAATATATATTAAAAAAGTTATTCCTAAAATACTACTATTAAAAAAGTAATGAACAAAAATGTGACTAAGTAACTTTTAGTGACTATAATTGTGTCAAAATTTACATCATAGTAACTACATCATAGTAACTTTGAATACAGTTATAGTTACTAAAAGTTACTAAGTCACACTTTTGTCCACCACTCTTTCAAGAGTAATATTACTGAAATTTTCTTGTATTAAAAACCTTCCAAAAATTACAATTAAAAACTTTCGAATTACATGACAAAGAATTAGAGGAAATCTATTATTTGGGGTTATTTTGAGATCAATCGGAGGTTGTTATCATCAATGGTGGTCTAGAAAACCAACATAAATTGTAGGGACGAAAAACAAAATCAGAAATATAAAACAAAATGTACTATATTTGCGGGGCTAAAAACACATTAAAACCTAAAAAGTAATAATTGATGTTCAGTTTTTTTTTTGCCAAGAATATCTGAAAGAGAATTGCACTGAATAAGTATTTCTTACTCCGTATTTGATTGTAAGTAGAAGACAGAGTGAAGTTCCCATGCTTTTTGGGATCCAAACTATATTATGTTGATAATTATAGCCTTATAGGTAAGAGATCTTCCCCAATCTCATCAGTAGAACATAATGTCTCCATACCGGAGAATCAATGATTTTAGGATGCATATCTGATATCTCCATCTCTGTTATATCTTAGGTTCTTAAATTTAGACCGGAAGGAGGGATTTTCTTTCCAAGCCCACCAGATTTTTAACTGAAAAGCTCTTTGAATATCCAGTAGAGATCTGATTCCTAAACCTCGAATCATGCGGCCTACATATATCTTACTTCATTCAGTCCAGTGGTACTTAGGTTTGCCATCACAATCTCCCCAGAAAAAAATTGGACATCTTATTATTCAGAATGCAAATGACTTTCACGGGAGCTTAAAAGTGGCCAGATAATGAAAGGTATAGTTAGGGCCTTAGGGGTGGGCAAAGAACCGCGAGTCAGGCTGGTAATACAGATTCGGGGCGGGTTAGGGCCGGGTTCTGGTTTTGAAAAACTCAAATGGTTCGGGGCGAGTGTTTAAAAACTTAGGAACTGAACGGATCTTGAAATTTGAAAAAAAAAAACGGGTACCCAAACCGAACCGTTTTATAATATTATCTTAATGAACTCTATTTAATATAATATAATAACGACACATGAAAGCTCTTCATGTTTATGTATCTGGACAAAGACTCTCAATTAAACAAACTTAATATTCTATTAGAAAGAGTTTCAAAGTCCATATAAACTCCTAAATTATTCCCCCAATTCTCTATTCCAAATGCATCAAGTTTTTTTTCTTAAATTTTGTGTGTGTACAAAGACTCTTAATCAATGAAGTGTGACATGTCTATTTAATTATCTTAATTTTACTTATATCTTGAGATTTAATAAGCTTTTAAATTGTTTTCATAGACAAAAATGTATAGTATAGTGCTATCTTTATGGATGATGATGTCTAAATTTTTACATTTTAAAATTTGGTGTTATTTTCCAAAAAAAAAATTGGTGTTATTTAATTTATTTGGTTGTGGGTTTTGTAATTTATAGATTTGTGGTTAGATGTTTTGTTGACTAATTTAAAATGTTGTTTTATGTTTTAATTTGAATTTTTACTATATTGTGGTGAAAATGATATTTAACTAGTTTGAGAGTGTTATACTTTTATAGCTTACTAGATACTTCGTACTTTGTTGGCATAGCGGTATTTTTTTTTACAAAAAAGAACAAAGAACTCGGACTGAGCCGGCCCATTTCAAACGGTGCAGGTTAGGTCCGATTCTTATTTTGAAATTTAGTATACTCAAACCAAACCTACCCGTTAATAGTCATGGACCCGGTTCGGGCCGCCCGGCCCGGGACCGGCCCGGCCCGCCACTGTGCGGGCCCGGAACCGGCCCGGTTCTCGGGTCCGGGTCCGGGTCGGGCCTAGGCCCGGTGGGGGGGGGGGACGGGTCCGGGCTCGGGCCTTGTATTTGGCGAACCAGCCCGGCCGGGTCGGGGCCGGGCCCGGGCTGAATTGATTTTTTTTTTTTTTTTTTTTTTCATTTTTTGGGGTTAGCCGGGTTGGGCTTGATGGTTAGGAGCGGTTTGGGGGTTTGGGGGGGGGGGGGGTGAGTGGGGGAGTTAGGAAAGCATTAAAAAAAAATTATGACCGAACCGGAGGCCCGGGCCGGGCCGGTCCCGGGCCTTCCTTCCCAAAAAAAAGAGCCCGGCCGGGCCCGGCCCGGGTCCATGACTACCCGTTAAGTGGAACCGGCACTTCTTGAAAAGTTATCAATAACCCAAATCGACCCGGACCGCGCCCACCCCATATTTCCTAACAAGGTTTTAACATCCTAAAACCCATATTAATACTAATAATCTCTAAAAGTTTATTTTCCGGCAAATCAGTCACTTTGGCTTCTAAGTCCGTTCTTGAACTTAGAACCACCTTCCAACCCCTCGTTGTTACATTTCTATGCATGTAGAAAACTTCTAGGGGTTCTCCATATTATACATAAGGTCCTGACATCTTTTTCTCAAGCTTTCTTCCTAATATTTCTCACTTAGCTTCCTCCTTGAACTTCTTCCTTGCTTGAGCTCCAATTGGCTATGGAAGAATGGTGTTGCAGAGCTCTCTCTCTCTTTCTCTTGGGGTGGTTTAGTTGAAGTGATAGGGGTAGATAGTAGGAATGATCCTAACTTTGTCTCATTGCAAATAAATGTGGGAGTTAGGTCCACATTTATTTGATCCCATTCCTTTCACCTCAGCCCCCTTCCAAACATGTTGTACTAGAGATGTGTAACACAAATTTTCCAAAAGTATTTATGAAAGTGCAACTGAGCATGGTTCACAAGGCACCTTACCTACACCAACGCAAAAAAAGTGTCCCAAGTACTTTCACAAGCGCTCATAGGAGCATAAGAGCATTGGCTTTGCTTGTGCCGTAGACCTTCCTATGTCTTTGCGTTAGTACGGATCTCCAAAAGCATTGCTATAAGTGAGGGCTTTTCAGCAACCTCTCGAGGCACACAATTAACGTCACAAAATAACCAACTACACTTTATAATCCACCTTTATTGATATCGCCAAGTTCAATAGTATTTAATATTGCAACTACTGTTTTTCATAAAGTATTACACAATTAACTATTTGAGAAGAAAATTACACAAACAAAAATGATTTTTAAAACGTTGTTCATATCATAAAATATTTAATCCAACCAGTATAACAATAAAAATGAGGTACTTTTAAACGAGGGTTGATCAAGAAATCACACTAACCAGACAAGAGACGAGGCAATTAAAAAACGCAACAAACCTATATGCACCCAATAACCAGGCAATAGGAGTCATGTGGTTTATTCTATGCTATCCATGCGGGAAGTGTCACGTGGATTACCCACTGTTGTTACACTCTCACACACATGGGGTGTGTTAGTGTGAAAGGGAGTGTGTGTTCCAAGAGTAACTAACATTCTAACCCAATGGGGGCATTACCCAAATGGGTAGCAATGCAGGCATGCAGCAAAGACAGTCTGCTTTGGAAGGGACAGAAGGGCTTTACAGGTAAAAATGATGTGTTGGTGACATTTTTAGAGCATTAAATAATAAGAGTATAAAACATTTAAAAGTGCTTTCAAAAGAAACAATGGAAAATAAGCTTCTTCTGAAGTGCTTTCGAGCTAAATAACACTTTAAGAAACTCCCATCATAAGCAACGTGTAGCTGAATTATACTGCTTTGTAGTAAAACACAGCCTTGTTTAACACAACCACATCCAAACGAGCCTAAACTGGAGTCACAAGCAGATCAGATTATTGATAATTTCTAAACATCAGCAAATTTTGCTTTATCCTCTATTTGGTTTGTGACATTCGGACAGGTGTTTGGTGACTTCATTCCAAGCTGCAAACATTAGATGTATGTGTGTGTATTAGAACATAGAAAGACTAATCCTCTTTTAATTAAGTAGGACCAGAACATGCTTACTAGGGAGATTCCTGAAATCAGGTTTGATACCATTTCCATTAATGTCCATGTGATTTGGTGTAACATACTTCCCAACAGTAACAACCACACCTGATCCATCTTGAAGCTCGAAAACAGATTGAATCAGTCCCTGCACAGAAAATTTAACACTGCTTTGAGTCAACGAATACTTGCCACACCACCTCTCTGTATATTACTCCCTCTGCCAAAATAACAGTCCACAAGCTAAAGGCACTTTTTCATGAATAGTTGGTGTCTATTTGGAAAACCAATAAATTAAAACATAAAAGAATGAACAAGATTCCCTCCCATGTTAATTTTACTTTTGCTTGTCACGTTTCATATATCTAGCACTTATAGGGATATAGTTGTCAATTTATAACAAAATTAATGATTATATAAGAACCAACTTTACCTTAATGGGCAGCTATTTAAGAATAGGAGTAGAATTTAGAGAGATTCTTATGTAAACTTGGTCTGCCACGTCATCTATAGACAAACAAAGTACCAGTATTTTGTAGTAGGCTAAGCCTACCATATGAATTATTGAAATCATCAAAGAGGGGGAGATTAGAAACTTTTACTAGCAAGGTAGGCAAAAGTTCATAAACATTTCACTTTTGAGTTCCTTAAACGTATTGGTAGTATTCCCTTCCTACATTATATTAAGCAATTAAAGCTACTATACTTATATGAAGATATTGAATATCCCATAGCTAGTAACCTTTCCGTAGGTCCGCTCCCCCACGAGAACAGCTCTGCAGTTATCATGAAGTGCAGTGGCAACCTGGGGTGAAGATCAAATTTTAAAGTATTCATTGTGACAAAATATACCATATGGAAACAGTACAGTCTGAGTAGCTCACAATTTCACTCGCACTTGCTGTATTTCTATTCACTAAAATCTGCATTGGAAGTAAGAAAGTGACGTAAATGATGAACCGTATAAAGAACGAGAACTACCAGATAATTGGACATCTATATTTAGAGTTTCTGGAAAATCTGCCTACTTATCAAATATGTGCCCTACAATTCATACTACAATTCATATTCCCTTTTAGATCCCTAAATTTCAATTGAGTTGAACTTCTCCCTACAACTTGCCAATCTAGTGGTGATCGGAGATACAGCTTAAGCAACAACATCATTAATTCATCATTACGGAATTTCAACTGTGTTACGGTTGTCAGCATAAAACTTAGAGCAAATCTAACAGCATGTAAAGGTTCAGATAAGACTGTCATCACTCTTGAAGAGATCAAATGAGGGTGCTCCCACATATTCTATAAAGAATATTTTTATCAAATCCGTAACATTCCCTAAACCTTTCACTGCACCTTTAGTGTTGATTACTTGTCTAAAATTCTCTAACACTATAAATTCATACAAAAGCTATAATCTCAAAGCTCTACACCGGATGCCCTACCTGTCCCAACCTCTTCTAAAGAAGGGATAATGAGATAAAATGACAAAATTATGACCATACGTTGTTAATCCACTTGTGAGAAAAATATTAACACAAGACGCAACCAGTTAAAAAGTTTGCCGTAATTATGTCCCTTTTATAATATATAAAAAATGCATTTAGGGACAATTGTAATACGTGGAAGCGTGGGGGGGGGCATGGATATAAGCTTATACGGAGTATAAATATAGACCAAACAAGGTTAACACGTAAGCTACGTGTGTAACAACCAATTAAGGAGTACCAAGAGAACAGTTGCTTACAATAACAGGGGCAGTGATTAGAGGTGGAGATTCTGCAGCAATACTCCGAATGTATTGTGGGTCCCTTCCAACAGTGTTAGTTACCTGACCAAAATCACAGGGACACATTAGTTATGATAATGTGTTTGTTTTGGTTCACGTGCGACTTGCACTTTTAGTTCCCTGGATTGTACTTATATGCTGAACTAATGTACTTTTCACGTCGACAATAGGTTTATTCACTTAAGAAACGCAATGATAATTTGTAAATACGTGAACTTTTTGCCATTGCAAAAGTGCAGTAGTTTGACATAAAAGTGCGACATGTGGGGTATAGGTGCAATTCACATGTTCACACGTTAAGCATTTTTTGTTTGAACCCAACCCTATATATAAGTTTTGGATCAAATAAAAAGTTGTATTATTGTGGAAAATGAGAATGATTTTCATGCATTGAGTAGGAGATCTGATGGCTATAAAAATGAAATCAAAGTGGCAAATTGTGTTAAAAATGTGTTGAAATTTCCGTAAATAAGTGAACATTTTTGCCAATATGTTAAAGTGCAGTATTTGAACTTAAAAGTGTAGTGTAGCGAAGTAAAAGTGAAGATTTCACATTTCTCAGGTTAAACATTCTTTTTATTCGAATTGCACCCTATATATATGTGTGTGAATGTATTCCCGCGCATATGTACATACATATATTTTTACCCGGTATGCAAACCACTTACACAGTGGGGTGAATGTCGGGGAACATGCATACACACACACATATATACTCCTTTCCAAAGGAACTCCCGATTTTGGCATCTATACTTGGATCATACCATTTCCCCTTCATTTAGGAAAAGTTTGGCAATTTCAACGCCTGCCTGAAATAAAAACGGATTGGGAAAAATAAAACTTCCAAAAAACGTCATACAAAATGAATTTAGTCTCTAACTAATTTTGTACTCCCAAAAGTATGAACACTTTTCTAAATTGAACTTCAATAACTTTGTACTTTTTTACTTTATCCCTTTACTTTTCATTTCACCCTACTCTTTGTGGATCCATCTTACTCTTTCTTACCTTTTGGAGATTAGAATTGTAAAACAACCACTTTATTCTTTATTTTCTTAAAACCCGCACCAAATCCACATGTATTTGACATTATGGGACAGAAGTCATATGTTTTAAAACCAATTAATGTTATAATGTACATAATACGTCTTTTTTAAACAAAAGGAGGATGGAAAAGAAATGCATAATGAGAGTCATTAATACTACATCTTAACCAATTTATCCCATATAGGATATTCCAATTACATAGCCATGAGCCCATGAAGAAGAAAAATTAGATAGTTCCATCATGGATCTTGTCAAAGAAAGCAAGAGATTATATTGGCATCTCAGTGTCACCCCCTAAACAGATGTACAAGACACACTATGCACAACTAGACACATATTTAGACTTCAGCCATTACTCTTACAATATAATGCATAATGTACCACTCAAGTCGCACAATAAATAGTTATCATATCCAAGTTATGATTACAGCAGTTAATTACTCATTTGCTAATCAAGCTCAATATGCACAATGATCAATCGTCCAAAGAGTTCATATTAGCAGTGGTCCCAAGATTTCCCAAGATTATTGACAGCCTTGACATAATAAAGATGTTTTTACGTGGATTGTTTTCTGTTCCAGACCAGGCCGGACTTAAAAAGACCAAACCATACCGGACTTAAACAGACCATATCAGACCAGACTTTGACAGTTATAAAATACATATAGACCAGACCAATTCAGACCAAATCAAGTCAAGCTAGATTAAATTAGGCCAGAAAAATTCAGTCCAATTAAAAACATCCCAACTTTTGTATTTGACGGTAAAACATAACAAAATTGTTCAAGACATTTAAAAATTTACCAATTTTGGTTATGTTGCAAAAATCATCAATCATGTGTTAAAGCTAAGTATGAGCTAAGTACAAATATGTGTGTTGATCCAAAAATGGGCGCTCGTAAATTTTTCGAAAAGCTATGACGAAACACTCGAAGTAGGAATCATAATATACGAAAATAAAAAGTGCTAGGGAGTTTGGATGCCAGAAATAGCATGTCTTGTTATTGAACTTCAGTTACTTTTATAGGCGTTTTACAAAGTTGTAGTCATTATAATCATAATGGCATACTAACTATGATAACACCATATTAACTATGGTGTTAACTATTACTCCCTCTGTATCACATATATATCTTCCCACTTCCAAAGTGCGTGAGATTAAGAATAGTGAAATGGGGTATGAATTATTGAGGGTATGATGGGAAGATGGTGAAATAATGTGATGGAATGAAGGATAAATCCAAAAAAAGTAGGTGTAGTAGTGTATTATTTTTTAAATTATTGAGGGTATGATGGGAAGATTTAGAAATGGTAAGATATAAATGTTACGTCCAAAAAAGGAAAGTGGGAAGATATGAATGTTACGGAGGGAGTACATTAATTATATTGACCGTTGCTCTTCTGGGCTAGCAGGTGTTCCTGGCTGGTAGGTCGGCCGTTTGAACTCCTTCCTTAATGGGCTGGCCGGCCCCTTGTTGGGCTAATGGTCGGCTCCCTATTGAGCCGATGAGTGGCTTCCTGCTTACCTAATAGGTCAGCTTCTTAACAGGCTTGTGCACGACTCCTGCCAAGCTAGTAGTTTGGGCTGATTCGAGCTCCTTGGTTATTGGGCCCACTCATTGGGTTGGCCACGTGAGAAGTTGATCTCAGGCTAGGACTTGCAGGTTCGAGTCTTGAGTTTAGACTTGTGAGGCTCTGGTCTAATCTTATAATCCCTTCACGAGTTCTTCACTCTTTTAGTCAAATAATAAACTCAACTAAGGAGTAATAACCCGTGCGCACCACATAAGCCCAATAGTTTGTGCTTTTCCTCCCGATTTGCCATGGTAAGTAACTTTAGGATGTTTTCTTTTGGACTGAAAATTGTTGGTCTAATCTGGTCTGATCTGGTCTGAACTGGTATGATAAATGTCTGGTCTCTATGTATTTTATAACTATGGAGGTTTGGTTTGGTCTGGTCTGGTCTGTTTAAGTCTGGTCTGGTCAGTTTAAGTCTGGTCTGGGACTGAAAACAGTTCAAAAGAAAACATTCTTAGTATTTAATTTTTTGCACCCGGAAGCAACCATCTGAATCTGGCCCATTTTGCAATTTATGTAAGCTCTCCCATCTCCAAGAAAGGCTTGTGGTTTCACTATCGTGCCTTATGTCAACCGTCAGAATCCAGGTCACCTTTTCCAGCATCCCTTTTTTCTTAAATTTCTTATTTTACTTTATTATTAATTATTATTATTTTTTATATTATTTTCTTTTCTCTTTCAAACACAAATGCAGCACAGCAGCTGAGCCTAGATCGAAGAACGTAACCTGCAGCGGTAGCGGGCCAGCAGCAAGAACAGCACCACCACGCGGCTACAGGTTACAGGTACTCATCCCCGTGTGTCGTTTGAGCTGCTTCCCCTGCCCTCGCTGATTGTTGACCAACCGGTGTGCTCACTTCGGCTCCTCCGCTTCAGTTGAAAGAATACGGATTGTCCTTGGTAGAAAATGACCTAACTAAGTTGTTCTTTTGTGATTGTGTTTGTCCTGTGTTATGGCGGTTCTTTCCTAGGCACTGGCGCTTCACGTTGTTTTGCCTCCCTCAATGTGCGGAGTTGTTTTGGTGTCTCAACCAGCTTTGTCTGGTCAGGAGTTTATGTTTACCTTCTTTTGGTCTCCAGAACCACATTTGTGCCAACCACATTTGTGACAGGATAAGTTTTGTGGATAAGCTTTATTTCAATTTTATTTTTCCTTTAATAGTACTTATTTTTATTTTAATTCGAGTAGGTTTGGTTTGGTTATTTGGACTTTTAGAGTACTTTTAATAGGCAATGTTTCAGTTCCGACTGTTTTTGGCTTAAATTTGCCCGTTTTGTGTCTAGCAAATCAGGTGAGGTGACTGATTCTATGTCTACTCCTAAGGCTTGCGATCGGCTTTCTCATAACTATCTAGAGGTTGTCTTGTATGATTTCTCGCTTTTAATATAAAAGCCGCTCTTTAAAAAAAACAAATGCAGCAACCCTAGCACCGTATCCACCGTTACCTCGGTCCGCCTCCGTTCGTCGACCGTCATCAAGTGGAAGTGTCGGACAACTCTCCACAAGTTGGAGATCCGTCTTCGTGAGTTAGCATCGCTGCCATACTCCCTTGGTCAGAGTAGTCGAGCATCTTTACAGGTCAGCATTCCACGGTCGAGCTTCTCTCACACGTTAGCAGTCCCTAGCAGGTCAGCAGACCATGGACGAGCTACCCTACCATGTCAGCTCTGACTATTCTCAGGCCAAGCCTTCTCTTCTTTCTCTTCTTTTTTTCTCTTTTTGTTTGCTTTATTTCTTTTGGAAACCCTTCCGACCTGCATGTGGGAAACCCTAACACCGTTGACCGAGCTTTCTCTCTTGCACTGGTGTTGCTCAGGCTCGCGCCACCACCCTCTCGATTGGGCGAGTCTCACTTGCATGTTGGAGTCGTCACACCAGTCGAGCATAATTTTACAAGTTGGAGTGGTTCGCAGGTCGTCAGCTTCATGGCTTCCACGTCAGATGGAGGTGAGGCACCTGGCCATTGCCCTACATCTTCCCGGGTTGTTGGACGAGCACTGGCAACAAGTTTCCGCCCGCCGCCCTCCCAGGCCAGTCCCCCACGTGAGTCAGGTCAGTTGTCGGATCCCTCTATGGTGGAATGGAGAGCAAGGGAAGCATGTCGTCACCGCCTGACACCCTCTCAGTCAGTTGCCCATGGAAAGCAAGTCGGCGCTCACGTCTCTTCTCGGTCGGACGACCACTCTCCGGGAGTCAACGTCCCTCTACTGTCAAATGAGCCCTCTCCGATTGGCCAGGACAACCCCATATCAAATCCATTGTTCGATGCAAGCTCCCAGTGATACACTTGGCAGTGGTTCCATCGGCATGGGTAGGCAGCTGTCACAGGTCGGCATTTATAGAGGCATTGGGCTGGACATGCAGTACATGATGGCAAATTGAGACACTGGGGCACGCATGCATTCAGCTGACATGTGCAGGCGGCACATCGATGCTCGTTCCAGGTTGGTTCCAGCCTGGAGAATCATTGTTTCTACGGATCGGCTCCTTAATGCATTGTGCCTTCACATTCCATTGGCTATTTACGTCATGAGTGGTGCCTCAGCTTCTTATTTCGGGGTCCATCTCCGCTCTCTGGAATTGGGGGTTGACCATGCCCTTGCATCCCTTCCTTGTCGAGTTCCATGACTTTTTGGAAGTGGTGTCACGCAGTTGACTTGCCCAATGCGATGAGGTAGACATTGTTCACATAGTTTGGTTGTTGTAGTTGTTTCCGCTGGTGTGCCTCCAAAACTAAGTCGGAGAATCCATGTTTTGCTAAGGTGGACCAAATCTCTCAGCCTTGAATAGGAGCAGATATCTCAGCCTTGTGACCTTTCCACCGTCACATCAGACAATAGATAGACAGCGTACCAGACTATCGATCTAAGTCGTGATGGGGTTATGGGAGGCGAAAGAGCAAATAGATGCTCATTGGTGCGCCTCTCCCTGCACATGTGCGTCACATTGGTGTCAGACCATCATCTAAGTCGTGAACCCTGTTAGGAAATTTATGTAACGTACCTCGAAAGTACCGCAACAAAATTTGAAATTTTTCCCAAACAAATCTGCCGACTATTACAAAATAACGAATCATAAACAAATAAAAAGTTTAAAGAAGAACTTACTGATCATCCAGTTTAGCATGCATAGAATCCTTGACCTTTGATATTCATGTAATTTCTCCTTTCCGAAAGAAAGATT